GTTTTACTTTTAAGTTCTTTTTCTTCTGATCTTTCTCTATGAGTTTTCAATAATTAAATTATTTTTCTTAAAATTCTTGAACTTCTGTCTTAAAATTATTCAAGTTCATTGATCTTGATTTTACATTTAATTTGATTCTTTTCTTTAAATTGTTTGAATTTTTATCTTAATATTAATTCTTCACAAAGAACATCAACAAAATTAGGCTTTTCAGGCTTAATTTCTTTTTCTTCCATAAATTCCTTTACTTCAGGTTCCCATATTTAAATTGAAGGTTAAGTTTTTATTCTTTAAGATTGAAATACTCCACTTGGTTTCCTACTAATAATAACAATAGATTTCTTTAATTCATTAATAACAGGTTGATCTTATTCAGTTTTTGCTCTTAATGATGAAGGCTATAATTCAGGTAATTTGATTGCAGTCTCATTTTTTCTTCGATGTTTAGTACGACTGAAAGTTAAATAGGACACAGGTTTTTATTCAATTGATCTTGTTATTGCAGAATTAGTACTCACTTATGAAAAGGGCTTTATTAGTGATTTTACAAAGTAATTATTCTCATGTTATTTCATTTATTATAATTTATTTGAAATGATTAACATAATGTATAATTTAAAACAAATCTGTAGTTTGATAATTTAAATTTTTGAAATGTTTTCGAATTAAAGCTATGCATTCTTAAATTTACATATTTTTAAAGCTTAATTTGAAATCAATTAAAATATTCAACAAAATAAAATTATAAATTACATTTCATAATAAGAAATGAGGATGAAAATTATTATAGAACATAAGTATTTAAACAGGATTGCCTATTAAAATGAGAAAAAAATTTTGAACTTTCTGCTTTGTTTCTCTATAAAGACAAACCTATATTGCCAAATAAGTAATCAATTTATTTAATGCCTTTAATAAAGAGAGACTAGAAATAAGTTGAAAATTTTTTGTATTTTTGAGAGAAATTATTAAATATGGTAAATTCAAATTCTAATATCAAAGAAATTTTCAAATCATTCCAATAGAATTGATGACCATTAAAGCAGGTATTCAACCTTTCATTTACTCTATAAAATCTAAAAAGATATTTAAATAATGATTGCCCCATAGCAACATAATTAGTTTAATGTTCAACATTAAATTAAACAAAATGAAAAATTAAAACAATTTATTATAAAATGTTGTTTTAAATTTTATTGTTAATATGAGAATCTATATGGTGAATTTTAGATTTACTAATTGTAGATCAATTAACATTTGTTTATGGTTATTATACAATGTCAAAAAAGAAGAAAATTGATGTTATCATTTGTCTATCCTTAGAGTGAATTCTTAAGAAAAATACATGAAATAATTTGTTGAAATGGATACACGGTAGAATTTTCTTTTAGAAAATGTCCAATTTAGGTTAGATCATTAAATTATTCATTAGTAATAATATGGAACCTTACAAAATGGAATTTTAATCTATCAAAGATAAAGTTTCATATACAAAAAGAAAATTGTTAGAAAAAAAAGTATCTCAACTTAGTAAGGTGATTAAATAAGAGATCATTCTTAATCAATATATATAGGTTTTACTCTCTGTTAAAGAGAAAGTTAGAAAAAGAATCTTAAACATGGATAAGGTGATTTTTATAATAAAAAATTTAGGAACTATAAAATTTGTAATTAACATTAATAAGTGACTTCTATAGACAAACACTTAAGGACTTTTTTGTTATTTAATGTTGTAAATAGCAAATTGAATATTATATAAAGATTTCGAGAAAGCTTTAGATTATTAAATTTGTTATATTAATTATATCGATGATAGATTTGATATTCCTAATACTCATTTGAAAGATATTATAAAATCAATTGAATTATAAAGCATTGATTCTAAAATATAATTAATGAAAAATTTAATGAAAAGTAATCAACAAAAGATTGAAATAGCACAGAGTGAAAAATTATTACGTGATCTTGACTTGTATTAAAAAATATTTCTATAAACAAAATATGAAAATAAAAAATAACAATGTTTAGCTATTAGAAGGCTTTTGCCAAATAAATTATATTCTTAACATTAATAACAATCATAATAATTATTTAGTAATCCAAGTCTGTAGTGTTTTAACACTTAATTAGATTAAGAAACTAGTTATTCTAATAATCAAAATTAAGTAAATATTCATTAAGAATTTAGGAAAGGAAAAGAAAAAAGATTGCAATCTCGATGATTGATTGCTCAAAAATTTTCAAAATATCTAATAAAACTCAATATCCAACTTAAAATAAACCATTATAATCTTTAATGTAGAAGATTGTTATTGTAAATCATCAAGGTAGACCATATACTTATTACATGAAGTGATATATATATGTTCATCATATTCTTTCAAATTCATATTATTAAACTATTTACTTTTCATAATATCTAAATTTAATTAAAATGTTAAACAATTTCATGAAATTTTCCTAAATTTTGAGTGACATTTTAATGATTTTATATATATCATAGTATAATAAAATTTATGATAATGTTATTAAATATTATTTGATTTAATATAATGATGTGAAATTTTAAATAGAAATAAATTTATTTATAGATAAATTGATTTTCAATTTTCTAATTCATTTTCAAATTCATCTTCATCATAATTTTCTGATTTATTAGTTTTATTTTTGATTTAATATTTAGGTTCACTTTCTGAATAATCATCATTCTAATCATTAGAATTTTAATCTAATTAATAATCATCATCATTCATATCATTATCTTCAACATAATATTTATCTTCATCTTCATCATCATCTTATGATTATTTTCCTTTCAATTAATTATGAAAAACTTCCTAATATAATTATTCCCCATCTTCTTCATCTTCATCCTCTTAAAGTAATTATAATTCATAAAAATTAGGTTCAGAATAACTTCTAATTAATCCATGTTTCATTAAATAAGTTTAAGATGATTTATCTATTCCTTATTCTATTTAAGGATCATAGACCTTTTATTCAACTTCAAATAAATATAAGATTTATTCTTATTTTAATCTTAGTTATTTAAAGAAGAAACAATTTCGTTTTTATTATCCTCTATAATATTTTAATAATTCTTCAAGAGCATTTTCATCTTCATTATCATTAGAATCACAAATTTCTTTTAAATATTTAAGAATTAAAGATCCATTTAATTTTCTAATATTTTGACAATCTTTAATTACCTAACTGAATAATTATATAATGTACTTTTAAGAGAAGATATTAATATTCAATTTATTAAAGACTCTATTATTTTTGTTGTTTTAAAAATGAATCTAATAAAGAGAATAAATCAAAATATTTGAAATTTTAACCATTAAGTTTTTATTCTAACATTGATATTATGTTAACAAATAATTTCGAAATAGAGATTTCTAAAATTTTGGATTCAATTTTATCATAAATAGGCCAGAAACCTATTATATTAATAAATTCTGATTTGACAATTTCATTCTATTAAGTTAAATTGATATTGATATTATAAGGATATTATTGATTATGTTTTTCTATTAGATATCTAGCAAGTAACATAGCATCTGGTTTATCTAAAAGAAATGGTTATTTAGATAATCTATCATGTAATGAACTAAAATCAATAGAAATAGAAGTCTAATTAAATAAATGACGATCTAATTTGACTATTGGTATTTATGCTGAACTTAATCTTAATCTTAATTCCAATCCTAAATTATATTAAATTATAGATACTTATTTCTGATAGATCATTTAATTTAACAGGTTCATCAATTAAATCCATTACAGATCTATTTACACTTTAACTCAATATATTATTATTATTAGTACTATTATTAGTATTATTATTAATTTTAAATGATTGATCTCTTTTGGTAGTACTATTAAGTGATTTATCCATAAATTTTTATGGATTAGGTTTTTTAATTGTTATTTATTTAGTTTATTTAGTGTTTAATGAAATTCTATCAATATCATTTTTAAGATCTATAATTTATTTATCTTTAATTTTAAGTTTGTTTTTAGCTTCATTTTAATATTTATTATAAATTTTATCAAGTTCTTAATATGCTTAAACCATTTATTATAATTTTTCTGATAATGCTTTATTTTCTTCCATATAATATTCTAATTCTTATTACATTTATTTAATTAATTATTCTCTTTACATTAACATTTCTTTAAATTTATTTTATTCATTTTCAAATTACTTTTAATAAATATTATCAGTTATTAATTATTCTATAATTTATGATAATCGTATAGTTTCATCTTAATATTATTTACATTCAATTTCTAATTCTGTAAGTTTTGTATATTTAGATGTCTTTTTCATATTTTATAGTTCTTATTTTGAATCATTTAATTGTTCATTTAATTATTTGACTTAATTTTTTAAGTTTAATATCATTTAATTATCTTATGTTGGAGTTTAATAAAATCTTTTCATATTTCCTGTCTATTCCATTTCTTCAATAATATTTGTACATTTGACTAAATCTTTCTTTGAACAATAATTAATATAGTTTTACTTCTAAATTAACATTTTTAGTCTTTAATTTAATATTCTCATCTCTTAATTAGTTCACTATCAATTTTAATTAATGACTCTCTTCATACAACTTTTCCCAATCCATTTTCTGTGTAGAACCACTTGGCTTATTAGATTTAATTCCTATTGGTAATTTATAAGGACTATAAATATATATTTATTTATATAAATACTTGGATGATTTGTTTTATTCTTTATTACTTTTCTCTTATTCTCTTGATTAACATCCAGATGCACTTGATGGTCTCATTTATTTATTATTTGTAAACTAATTTAAGTATAAAATATTATAATTTACAGATTTATCATATTGAATAATTAAAATCATCTCTTCTATTACTAATATACATTTTATTTACTCTATAACAAATTACAAATAATATAATAACGGAAACCTTAAATAATGATTTAACTACTTTATTTTTATAAAATAATAAAAATTATTATTATGAATGAAATTCATAAAGGGTAATCAAATGAAGTTCCCTAATTAAAATATATAAGTTATGAAGATAAATTAGAGTTCTATAGAAATGTTAGATAATGGCATAATAAATTTATTTATTAGTAATTTGATTTAAGTGGTTTGAAAGGTATTCATTTAGATAAAAATGAAAAATTCAATATATTAAAAGAGTAATTGACTTCATTTAATAAATAAGTAAATATTTACATTAAATTAGTTACAATAAGCAGAAATTAGCAAAATAACTCCTTAGAATTTTCCATCTCGTTATAATTTTCATTCTTAGATTTTATAATTATTAAGAGAAGCTTAACTATCTACAAATAAAGAATAATAAGAAGAATTTATATAAAAAATATATGATTGGAATAATTAAGAATAAATAAGATCTTTAAAGAGTAGATGTAAACATACATAATCAGTTGATTATAAATATGAAAGTTCTAATTTTGATGGTACAACAAATGATGAAACTAAAAGACATTTTTTAGATTTTAGTGAATAAAAATAATTGCCTAGTTAGATAATACAAGAAAATATAAGAGATTTTAAATAATAATAAAGAACTATTCATAAAGAAATAGATCCTCCTGATGTTAGGTATCAAAATTTTATATATTTCAAGATTATAATAATATTCAAGAAAAACATTAATTCAATAATAATTATAGATTTCATAATTAAAACCAGAATCTTAATCATCCTTTTTTCCTACATAAAATAATATTAATAAATTTTCTGTTTATGAAGAATAAGAATAATAAGAAAAAGATACAGAAAATGAAGAGAATAAAATGCCTATAGAACCAATAAAAGTATTTTTAAAAGATGATTAAGATTTAAGTATATAAAGATAATAAAGTAAATCATTTGAAGTTAAATAAATGTATTAATAATATTAACCATCTAATTCAGAAATTGAAGCATCATTATAATAAAGATGGATTACAAATAGATAAAAAGAATATAAAAATTAAAAAGAAGATTAAGAATTAGTAAATTCTATGTTAAAATGGTCAAAAAATAAATCAAGAATATAAAAAGAAATGGATAGAAGATAAGATTCATCTTAATTTGGAAGTAGATATTAATAATTAGATTTAATTCCAGATTCTCCTTTATAAACAAAAAAATAATATTATATTGGATATGATCCAAAAGTTATTAATTTAAAATAATTACCAATTATTGTTAATACTTCAAAAAATAATTCAGTAAGAACAATGATTGAAATGGACGAATCAATTTCTAAATAAAAGATTGAAACTACAAAAAAAAAATATACAAGTTTATTAAATTTATCAAATATTGAAATTACTCCAATTAAATAATAATAATAATAATAATCATTATCTATTTATGGTTTAAATGATCAAAAAAATAGATCGATCTCTTAAAAAAATAAAATGGCTAGTGTAATTGATGCATTTAGTCCTGAAAAAGTTTCAGAAGAATAATTGAAAGAAGTATATGAAGTATATAAATTTTATATATATAAATTAGATTAAAAATAGAATGGCTAAACATAAAATAGTTATTCCATTAAAAAAAATAATGACTGGTTTAATTGCACCTACTGTAGATAAAAATAATCTATATGATAAAATACCAGATATTGGATCTATGATAATGAGTAATCCATTTGAAGTAGCAAAGAAAACTAAAAAAAAGAAAAAGAAAAAGAAAGAATGAATTTTTATACTTAATCTATAACACTTTTAATTGTTATACATATTAATTTTATAATAGAATATATATATATATGATCATAAAAATAAAGAAAATTTAAATATTATCATTTTAGATCATCAAATTTCAAAATAATCTTATAATTATTATTATATTAAATTAAAATAGGTTCGAATGAATCAACCTATTACTTATTCATCTTTAATATCTCTATCATTAGCTAAATTCCCACAAATTTACATGTATACAGATGGATTTATGAGCAATGACTTTCAATTAATTAGTTTTAATAGTGTTCATGGTAATCTATTTCATGATTTTCAAAATACTGTTTTTAGAATTATACCTGTCTTAAACTTTAAATGGACTTAAAAATTATTAAAGGAAATAGTTTAAGAAGATTTCTAGAAACTAAGTGAAATTTAAAGTAATTGATTTATATATAAACAAAGTCGTAAAACAAAGAAAAGGTTAGATTTAGAGTTTAAGAACAAATTTAGATGGAGAAGTTACATCTAATATATCATTAACAAGTAAATTAACAGGAGTACCTTTAATATTTGGTTCATCTACATTTATGCTTGTTCATGTAACATCACTCAAATTTTTAACATTAAATGATGAAAATCCAGAAGATCTACATTTTTAATTAAAAGATTTTCCAGAAGAAGGTAGCATAATGAAATTCACTCCTTGTCTTAATTTCTAAAAATTACGAACTAACATAGTATATAATAAAGATGCTGTTATATTGTCTAGTACAAAAGTTGTTTGCAATAGACCACCTTCATTATATACTTTCTATAAAGGATAAGAATATAAATATAAAGAATCAAAAGACAAATAATTAAAGAAATAATTTCAATAGGAAATAAAAAAGAGTAAGATTATTGGAAGTATAGAATATTAAACTAGATGGAGAGTTGAAGGATATCATTGTGCTAGTAATAATGAAAAATAATCTGAATTTGATGATTATTTACATGTTGGAGATGTAATTGCACTTTATTTATCAGAATTAAAATTACATGTTAATGCATTAAAACCTTATGATCCATTCAAGAAGATATTATAAATATTAAAAATTGAAAATTTAACATCTGCTGAACCTTAAACTAAACATAAAGATTAATTATTAAAATTAACAAAAACATAATAAAATTTAGATAAAGAATTTAATCTTAATTAATCAGATGCTAAAATCTTAAAAAAAATATTAATTGAAGATGTAATTGTTACATTTTAAAATTTCAATTATTTTAATAGTACTGAATCTTAAAAGAAATTATAGGATTTACCAAATAGTTGTTTTTGGAAAATTGAAAGTGCAGATTAAATGAGTGGAGGAAGAGTAGATTGGAATAAAATATATAGATTAAGACATTTTTAAACTGGTAGATATTTATAAATTACAAAAAATGGAAATTTAGTAGATATGGAATTAATTTCAGAGCCTAATTAAAATGCTTTATTTAAATTCTCTTAAATTTAGAATTCAGAAGATTCAGAAGTAACATATATTAAAAGAGATTCATTTTATTATTTATTACATATTGTAACTGGTCAATATTTAGGTATTAGTGATGAAGTAAATGAATTAAATCCAAAGATTGAATAATTATCAAAAGAAGCTGAAGTTGAAGTTAAATAGGCATATTTATCTGTAGTTTAAAATCATTATACTACATTTAGAGTAAAAAAGATTGATTTTTCTGATATGTGGGAAACCTATATGTTATAATATAGTTTACCATTCTTTTTAGAAGCTATTGATTATATTTAAAAATTACATTAAAAACATATAGTAAATAGTACTATAGCTTATAATGATGAAGATATCAAAAGCAAATTACATTTTTATTAAATATTTTTAAAATTAGATAGAATGTTAGATATGTATTGTGAATTTATAAATAATAAATTAATTTCTAATATTAGTACTAAATAAGAATATTCTTATATTGTTACAAATAGATAAAATGTAGTAAGAGAATAGAATATATTTATATTATTAGTTTGGATGTTATTTAGATGTTTTCCTAATAGATAAATTATAGAAAAATATCCATAAAAATTTGAAGCAATGAAAATTGATTTTATGGATGAAAAAGATTTTATATTTCGTGTATAATCATTTCTATAGAGTAATACACTTAAACATCATCCAAGAATGCTTGTTAAATTAGAAGATGGACATAATAAAAGATAGATATATTTATCATATAAAGTATATATGACAATAAAAGATTTTTGTAAAGATAATAAAAATAATTAAAAAACTTTGATGAAACTATTAAATATATTTTATAATCATATAGGTTTAGGTGATTAGATTGTTGATACATTAGCAAATTCTATTTCTAAAACTAAATCAATTTTATAATAATTACCAAAAACTATGATAAGTATGCCTTAAAAGCCTAATTAAGATGAACATCATTCTCAATCAGCATCTTAAGATAAATCTTAATTATAGATTGAATAAAATAAGATTACAGATTAATCTAATTTATCTATGACTACTCCTCATAATAAAAGTAAAGACAGAGTTTCTTAAAAGGAAATTGAATTATAAAGAGAAAAAGAAAAAGAATAATAAAAATTAAAAGAATAATAAGAAAAATAAAAAGAAAAGGAGAAATAATAAAAAAATGAAAGTAATTCTCTATAAGCAATTATTTTAAAATTACTTGAATTTCCACCTTTTTCAAAACCAGATATAATATATTTATTAGCAACTGTATGTTAATCTTAAGAATCACCAGTATTTGTTAATTAAAATTTAATATATAGAGCATTTTTTGAAAACAAATTAATTTATAATCATGCATTTATGAAATTAACATATAAATTTGGAGATTTGTTACTTACTTGTTAAGATAAGAATGATTAACCAGTAACAATAAAATTTTTAGATTTTTTTGATGATCCAAGATTAGAAACAGGATCTAATTATTAAAGATAATTTGAATATATAAAAAATGAATTAAATTTAATAGCAAATTTATGTTTAAGTAGAAATACTTTAGCTTGTAAAACATTTTAATAAACATTTTTATTTAATAAAACGTTACCATTTGTAGAAAATAGTAATTTAAAAGAAGAAATTAGAGCAGTATTTTTAAAATTAATAAGAGTATTATATATAGATTAAGAACCTTATTAAACATAAAAAAGACCAGAATTAGTTAGAGAAATTATATATGATAAATCAATTTTAACAACTAAACTAATAAAATAAGATGGAGGAATATTATCAATGTTAAAAATGAATGCTAATAATTATGTATCATTTGAAGAAATTTAAAAACGTTAATTAGAACCATTAATATCAAAGGATACAATATTATATTAAACAATGAGAGTAAAAAAATTAAAACAATAATAAATTAATTGGGAAAGAATCTAAAAAGAATAAGCAATAGATGAATCTGAAGTAGAAGAATCAGAAGAAGTTAAAAAATTCTTATAATCTTTAATAAAAATTTTAATTTAACATATTTAAGAATCTGCTTCAAAATTGACTTCTTTAAAATAAGGTAGATTAATTTATAATATATTAACATTAGAAGTTATTTAAATAGTTAAATTAATATTTTAATTTGGTTTTTTTAATTAAGAATATATTAAACTTCCAAATTAACATACTAAAAAATCATAAGCAATTATGAGAGAAATAGAAAAATAAATAAAAAATTCTGAAATTGAATAAATTATTTAATTATTAGCTTAATTATTAGAATATGATGAATAATATAATTAAGCTTTAGAAAATGCAAATGTTTAAAGAAAATTTATAGAAAATAAATTAAAAAGAGATGAGAGAAAGAAGAAAAATGCATTTGATGATTTAGCTAATTTGGGTAATATTAATCTTGATATGATGAATTTATTAGATGGAGCAGAAAAATAAAAAAAAGAAAGAAAAATTATTCATTAAGATATTGAAATGGAAATAATTAATGATCCATTATTTAGAAAAGTAAAATAATTAAAGAAAATATTAGATAAATGTTCAAATAAAACTTTTTCAATTAAATAAGAAGATTAATTTACATAATATGAAGTTTAAATAAAGATGGAAATTTGTGAAATATTTATATTATTATTGGGAATGAGATAAGATTTTTTAATTGATAATGCAATTGATTTCTTTAAATAATAATTTGTACCTTATTAAGTAAGTTAATTAGATGAAAATCATACATACACTGATTTACTTCCAGAATTAGGAATTGAAGTTGGAGAAGATGTTGATTCTATTTAAACTATGAAAGAATATAGTGAAAAATTTTAAACTGTTAGAAATTTTGATGTTATTTTAGATAGACCATTTTATGAAACATTAATATTATCATTATTCTTTTCAACTGATGCAAAATTATCAAATAAAATTGTTGAATTAATAGAAAAATATTCAAGTTAAAGATATGATTTAGTATAAAATTTAACAGAATTATAAGTTGTTGTATCTATGGAAACTATTGCCTTTTATAAAAAATGGTCAAGATTATTAAATAAATTAAAAAGAAATATACCAAATTGTTAAGCTTGGTTATAATTAGATACTCCTTAAAAATTAAATGGAAGAAATGAAACTAATTTCTAAAAAAATCTTAAATTAGTTAAAAAGATTATTGATGTATTTTAAGAAAATGCTGGTGATAATTAAAGAATGAAAATAAAATAAAGAATATTTAAACATGTAGGAGGATTTGATTCTATGCTTGAATTAATGTTATCTTGTATGATCATGATAGTAAATAATAGATAAGTATTTTCATTCAAAGAAGCTCCTACTAGTTTCTCTTAATATTAATAACATTTGGCAAAATTGATTTTATAATTATTGGAATGTATCCTTCAAATTATGGTATTCTTTGGAAAGAATTCTATTGAAAATTAAGAATTAGTATTTCATAAAGTTGTACCTCATTTAACTAAATATAGGAGAAACAATTTTAGTTAATCACAATTTATTACTGATTTATTAAATGATAATCCAAAATTAACTTAACATATAAATAGAGATAGAGAAATTGAATATTTTTTTAAGTTGATCAAAAAACATGGAAGATACACTGAATTTATAGACTTTTTCTTAATTATTTTAAAAAATGCAGAAAGTAATAAAACTGGTTAAAGTAATGTTTTATCTATGCATATAATCAATTTTGTTTTAGACAAAAAATATTTTGAATATTGCAATGTAATTATTATTAAATTGATATTAGCCTTTTGTTCCATAACCAAAACTCAAAGGAAAGTCTTTGTTCTATCAACATAAACCTTAATCATCATATCTAGGAAAATTTATTATTGTAATTATTATTTTAATATTCTTTAGATGTTAGCTTAATGTTTAAAAAATTATATAGGAGTATCTTTAACTTATAGAGCTTAGCAAACTTTTAAATTGAATTTATTATTAGAGAGTTTAGTTTAAATATCTTCAGAAGAAAGAGAAACAGCTTTTGAATAATTTAATTAATTAGAAGTTAAAACATGCATATTTGAAATTATTATGGTTGTTTTAGAAAGAGCAGAGAAAAAGAACTTAGAAATAATGTCATGTTCTTAAAAAATTTAAGAATTTCTAGTACTTGAATCTTAATTCTTAAACTCAAGACCATAATTTTCAAATGCCTAATTGATCTATCTATTTTAAAAACAATCCCCTTTTCTTCTATAATACTTTAAAGCCTTTTACAAAGATGCAGGTGCTAAATTATTTTAAAATGCTGAATAATCTAAAGTTGAACGCAAAAAAATTTAGGAGTATGGAAAAGCTTTTTTAAATGCACTTAATCACATGAGTTAAAAAACTATAATGGAAGATGTTCCAAAAATAACAATGGTTGAAGAATTATGTAAAGCTTTAAAAATTGATATTCCAAAATCATTTAGAAGACCAGTAAATTCAGATGATGAATTAGATGATGATGAAGAAGAATAAGAAGATGAAGCTGATGATAAAGCGAAATAAATCTCAATGGATGTATCAAATGAAAATACACATTAAAAAGGCAGTTTTACAACAGGACCACCATTAGTAAATGAAAATACAGCAAGAGCATTTTTATAGAAATTTAAATCTTTGAAGGCAAAATAATTATAGACAGATAAAAAAGATGATGAAGATAATGAATCAAAATAAATAAATTACTATTGGCAATTATTTGTTTCATTATTATCAGATAATGAATAAGTACATGAAGCTATAAAAGAAGAGAAATAAATATTTGCTAATAGTGTTTGGAATGTAAGTTAAATGTTTCAATCTGATATCAAATCTGATTAAAAAGATTTAGTATTAAATTAAGAAGATGTTGTTAAAAATTTATTAAATTATATATAATATTGGTAAGTTAATGCAGCTGATAAAAAAAGTGTTCTTTTTATCTTTAAAGCATTAAAATAGATTTTAAAGAATCCATTTAGATCTGATGATTTAGATGAATTAAGAGAAAGATAAGAAATTTTAAATAAATTAAATGCAACTAAAATATTAATGTAATTATTATGGAGTGAAGATGAAAATGATCTACAATATTTAACAACTCTTTTATCCTTATTTTGTATGTTATTAAAAAAAGGTAATTTAGTTGTATAAACAACAATATTGGAATATTCTAAATCAAATTAAGAATGTGAAAAACTTTATTTTAAATTGAATTTAATAATTTCTAATTATATTAATTCTAATCCAGCTGAATTAAAACAATAAGGTAAATTATAAACTAAATTAATATGTAAAACTTTATAATTTATGTAATTATTATGTGAAGGACATAATTTATAATTATAAGAATATTTACATTAATAAACAAATTCAAAAACTTCTTATGATTTAGTTTTATAAATTGTAAGACTTTAATAATGTATAAAAATTGATAATAAAAATTATGGAATTGTTACTTAATGCTTTGATACAATAACAGAAGTTATTTAAGGTCCTTGCAAAACTAATTAAATAGCTTTATCAAACTCTAAATTTATGGAATATATAGTAGATGTCTTATCTGAAAATGAAAAGTTATTTGAAACTTAAGAAGTCTAAAAAAAACAAGAAGCAAAATTACTTGGAGTTATTTTTAAATAAGTATAAACATAGAAAAAAGAATTTAAAAGCTTTAATTAAATGGGATAAACAAAAGAACAATAAGGAATTAAAAGAAATAAAATTATGGATCCAACAAAACCTTATAATCTTACTTTGCATCTAGCAAAATTAGCTAGATTAAAACTAAAAGCCTTAATTTCATTAGTTTCTTTAGTAGAATGTTGTGATCTATAAGATAATTTAATCTTAAGAATTATTAGAGCTATACCTATAAGAGTGTTAACTAATAATATGTCAAGAGTATATTCATTATTTTAGTAATATTTTAAAGATGAATATAAAGAAGAATTATTTGGAAGGGCAGAATAATTAATAATATTGACAGAAGAAGAAGAAAAGTATGAATTAGTTGTAGAAATTGGATTTTATATTTATATTTTGATGTAAATCTTTGTAGCAAGTAAAAAGGGAAAAGATATTTTATAAGAAGACATAGAAATGAGAGAAATATTAAATGAATTTGATGTTGATAGAGCAGATGAATAATAAAATGGTTTATTTAGTGGAATTTCTAAATTAGGAGGTTAGATGTTATAAGTAGGATTGGGAGGACTTTAGAAATTTAAATAAGGAATTGAAGAAGTAGGTAAAACTGATGAAGATAGAAGAAAAGAAAAAGAAGCATAAGAATTAGAAGAGAAAAAGAAAAATAAGGAATTATTAAAAAATTCAATTAGATTCTTTAAGAAAAACTCTTGTTCTATTGAAATAGTTAGAGATGAAAAAGTTTATTAAGTATTCTTTCCAAAATTGCCTTATTGTCATTAATTGCCAAAAGATTTAAAAACTGAATTTCATGATGAAGTCAATAGATCAAGTGCTAAAACTAAATTAAATTATCTAATGACAAAATCTGAGAGCATAATTAAAACTATGAAACATGAAGAATATTTAAGAATATTGTTTAATATTAATCCTATTTTTGGAGCTATTGCTTCTCAAGGAAAATTATGGGAACTTTGCTTATTTTTAACAACAATTGCTATTAATTTAATTATATTGTTTAGTTATTCATAATTTTTAGTTCCAGATCAATATATGGATAATGATAGTAGAATTTAATATTATAGATTATATGAACCAAGATTATTATGGTATGATTAACTAAGTATAACAAAACAAATTATTTTAATATTGGGAATATTAGATTTAGCATTCTCTTCCTTAATTGTATTTTTCTTTGCCCTTAAAAGAGCTCCCTTAAAAGTTTATCATATTTGGGTTGGATTTTTCAGTACTTAAGGATTTTTTAAAATCATTATCAGATTAATCAAAAATTCTTTGGTTTCTATATTTGTATTGTTATAAGATTTTGAAATACTTTATTATTCAGCTTATATTTTAGCTGGTATAGTGGGATTAGCAGCTCATCCATTCTTTTTCTGTGTTCATTTAATGGATTTTCTAAAGCTAGATTAACTGAAAACTGTTGTTTAAGCTATTTGGAAACCAAAAGTAGAATTAGGTTTGGCTTTAATGTTATTAATAATTATAGAGTATTATTTTAATATTTTGGCCTGGATAGTATTTTATAATTAATATCCTGCATCAGAAGAATCAGGTCAAGAGTATTGTAATGAATTTTGGAGATGTCTTATCACAACATTTGATTGGACATTCAAATTTACAGGATCTATAGGTGCTCATTTATAAGATCCAGCAACTTTGGAAGAATTATAAAAATAAGCTGTTTTATAAGGGGATGAAGATGCTTCATATGATTATGTGAATGCAGATTAAACAGCTATTTATTATGAAAGATTCTTTTTTGATAATTTATTTAACATCATGTTGGTGTTTATTTTATTAAACATGATTTAGGGTATTATTATTGATACATTTTCATCTTTAAGAGAAGATTTAGCTGAAAAAAACAAAGATATGGAATTTAAATGTTTTGTATGTGGCTTTGATATGGAAACATTAGATAAATCAAGTGATAGTGATAAAGGTTTTGCATTTCATATCAAATATGAGCATCATATGTGGAATTATGTTTTTTATTTTGCCTATTTGCAATTCAAGGACCCAACAGAATATGATGGTAATGAAACTTTTGTAAGCAATAAAATGGAAAATCTTGATTTAGGATGGTTACCAATTAAGAAAGCTAAATGTATCACAGATGAAAATTAAGAAGATAAAAAAAAATTAGAATAATTAGATTTATTGAATAAGAAGGTATTAATATATAAATATTTATTAGGCTGATAAAATAGAAGAAGATGTAAAAAAATAAACAGAAAAAGTAGAAAAAATTTATAAATCCTTATTACCTGAATGAATTAAAAATTATATGTTAAAATCATAACTAATATCTTCATTAAATTAATCATATTTCCTGTTAATAATCAAAATAAAGAAATTATTAATATCTATATTAATTAAGAAAGATATACAAATATAATCAGTAATGAAGTTCTAAAATTAAAAATATCTAATACTATTATTATTAATCAAAAAAAGAAATCTATTTCTTATTTATTCTTATTAAATTATATTATATTTTTAAATTATTACATTAGTTGTTTTTAAAAAAAAAATCTCGTAATCTTTTATATTATTCTATTTATGATTTAATTTAAATAATTAAAAATATTTTAACTATATATATAGTTCTTAAAAATTATATCATATTTATTATTCTGATAAATAATAAAAACTCTATCTTTATTTATTGCGATATATCCTTAAATTTTTGAATTAGTATATATATTATTTACTTATAAAAAATGTTTATTAACCATTAGATTTTGTGAAAAATTTCCTAAAATTCAATACAATTATCTAAAAGGGAAATATTTATTATTTGAATTTTTTTATAGTTAATTTGGACCAATTAAAGCAGTATAATAAATGTGTTTATTTAGAAATAATATTTTTCAAAATTCATCAATATGCTTATATATTATTTATTTAATAAAATTGATAATTTAATATTTAATAATGTAAAAGTTGAAAATCTTCTAACAGATGAAAATTGATATCAGATTAATTTAACTTTTATAAACAGTTTATTATCTCATTTTTTATTTAATATTATGATTAAAATTTTAACATGAAGGAGCAAAGTTTTTAGGATCTTCATTATTTAAGAATAATATATTATAAATATGGATAATTTTCAAAAGGAATTCATTATTATTATAGCTCAAGTAACAAAATGTTGTTATTGGATCTTAAGTGAGTATGTACACAGCTTTGATACAAAATGCCATCTACTTACTAGATTTTTATATTTCTGCGATATCTAGTAAATATTTATGAAATGTAGCTTTAGGAAGATGCTTCAAAGTGTTGAAAAAAATTTCTAAAAATAAATTATATATTGAATTGGATAGGGAATAAGCAAAGATAAATTAGATTACCAGATAAAATATGGTTATTGAATGTATTATATAGTTGAAATTCTGAAAACCAGACTTTTACATATTATTAGGATTAATATAATGTTATCAAATTAACTTAAAACTATTTAAAGTAATATATAATATCCTAATAGTCTAGGATATATCTTTGAGATACAAAAATATGAAATTTTTCAAAATCAATTTAGAAAGATTTGTCTATAGAATAATAAATTAATAAAGAAAAAAACCTCAAACATAAAATACAGGCTAGAAATGAAAAGATGCCATTAACATTAAAGTTTAAATCAAAGATTATGAATATATTTTAAAGTCTAGCCAACAAAAAGAGGGTTTTAGGTTGTAAAAGATTTAATGAATACATTTAATCATCAAAAATGAATTAAAAAAAATTAATCAAAATTAATATAANAAAATATTTTAACTATATATATAGTTCTTAAAAATTATATCATATTTATTATTCTGATAAATAATAAAAACTCTATCTTTATTTATTGCGATATATCCTTAAATTTTTGAATTAGTATATATATTATTTACTTATAAAAAATGTTTATTAACCATTAGATTTTGTGAAAAATTTCCTAAAATTCAATACAATTATCTAAAAGGGAAATATTTATTATTTGAATTTTTTTATAGTTAATTTGGACCAATTAAAGCAGTATAATAAATGTGTTTATTTAGAAATAATATTTTTCAAAATTCATCAATATGCTTATATATTATTTATTTAATAAAATTGATAATTTAATATTTAATAATGTAAAAGTTGAAAATCTTCTAACAGATGAAAATTGATATCAGATTAATTTAACTTTTATAAACAGTTTATTATCTCATTTTTTATTTAATATTATGATTAAAATTTTAACATGAAGGAGCAAAGTTTTTAGGATCTTCATTATTTAAGAATAATATATTATAAATATGGATAATTTTCAAAAGGAATTCATTATTATTATAGCTCAAGTAACAAAATGTTGTTATTGGATCTTAAGTGAGTATGTACACAGCTTTGATACAAAATGCCATCTACTTACTAGATTTTTATATTTCTGCGATATCTAGTAAATATTTATGAAATGTAGCTTTAGGAAGATGCTTCAAAGTGTTGAAAAAAATTTCTAAAAATAAATTATATATTGAATTGGATAGGGAATAAGCAAAGATAAATTAGATTACCAGATAAAATATGGTTATTGAATGTATTATATAGTTGAAATTCTGAAAACCAGACTTTTACATATTATTAGGATTAATATAATGTTATCAAATTAACTTAAAACTATTTAAAGTAATATATAATATCCTAATAGTCTAGGATATATCTTTGAGATACAAAAATATGAAATTTTTCAAAATCAATTTAGAAAGATTTGTCTATAGAATAATAAATTAATAAAGAAAAAAACCTCAAACATAAAATACAGGCTAGAAATGAAAAGATGCCATTAACATTAAAGTTTAAATCAAAGATTATGAATATATTTTAAAGTCTAGCCAACAAAAAGAGGGTTTTAGGTTGTAAAAGATTTAATGAATACATTTAATCATCAAAAATGAATTAAAAAAAATTAATCAAAATTAATATAATATAGTAATATTATTTTTATCCTAAATTTACCTTCGCTAACATTAAAAAATGAGATTTACTAAAAGAAAGAAAAACATAAATTACACAATCCTTAGATTTTTTCTGAATGAAAAAAAATCGGATGAATACAGAAAAGTTTAGTATTTATATTAATCAATACTCATCTACATTTTAGAATGCAATAATTATATAAATATATATTCATTTTATTGAATTTTATATTGAAAAATAACCATATTATCTCCATAAAAACAACTATAAATTTTTTGAAGATTAGAATAATATTTGATAGAAATGGGTTCGATCTAACTGATACCCATAAAGGATAAGACAAAAAATAAAAATAATTCAAATGGCAAGAAATATCCCTATTATTTATAGTTCTGGACCATTATTTTCTCATTTCTTCAAGTGTATTTCCAATTATGATATTTAAAAAGTTTAAATGGAGAATCATATTAATATTTTTATTTAGTATAAAAAAATACTATTAATTATTATCAATAAGTTATATATTCATAGTTATACATTATATAGAATTTCTGAAATATTATCTGGATAATCCACTAAATTGATCTCATAAAGTAATTCTTCCTCATTTACTTAAGGTTATTTCAATAATTGAAGTGTAGTTTCTAAATCTTTAAATTTTGGTGATAATAACTTCAGCAAAGCTATGCCTGTCTTCCATAATATATTGGTTCCACCAAAGAACATCCTATCCCAAATTCGCCCAACTATATCGGGATTTAGAGGTTTAGCATATAATGTTATAGTCCATTCTAATAAGAAATTTTAGCAATCAATATTGTACGATTTGAGCAATTGATATGTTTAAGGAATGTTTATTTTTATCAATTTTTAAAATTGCAAAAAAATTATCTAAAGTAAATTAGTATCAAGTAAATATATGGGAAGCAATTATGGATGTGTTATGAGACTGCTAAAAATTATAAAAGCTTAATAGTCATCTAAATAAGTCAAGAGTATAGATGCTATATAGGTCATCCCTTAAATATATCCAATATCTGGACGATAAAGGCAAAACGTTTCCAAAATTGATTATAGACTTCCACTAAGAGGTCCTCCAGAAGAAAAAATATTTCGAAGACCTATTTTAAAATATTCATACTTGGAACATCAAAAGTTCTCCCTAAGTCCTTCTCAATTAATTTAATTGAATTTAATCTTCCATAATTATATTTACCATCAAGAATAATGTTTTATACTTATTCAGATAAAATTTCAAATAACTCCAATGTAATTTGATGCTTATTACCAACAATTAAAGGCCACATAAATCTTCTTACACTAAAAGGTATTCCAAATTCTGCTAATTAAATAACTTTAACGTCTCTCTAATACTTTTGCCATTCTTAAGCTATCTCTTACCATTTTAATTTTAATTGCTAATTTATCCTAATGCTTACTTTTTCTTGTTCTGGTTTAGACAATCTTGAGTATTCTGTCAAATTTAGATTTTAGCAAAGATTATCATTTTGTTAAGGAGAACCTTATATACCCTTTGGTTCTAAATATCCTGAAAAATCTGAGCCCACGTATTTATTCTTAGATGAAAGCATAGATAAATTTTGAATTGACTTAAATGCTATTCTTTTTATTTATAATTAATGAATAATTATTATAACCAAATATAAGGCTTCTTTTTGTTTAGATGATTAATAAGATTTCAAAACTTAATATTAATCAAGAATTAATTAAATTACTAATCTCACTAAAGAAATTCTATAAACATTAACGAGCAAACAATTATTTTCAAAATATATATTGTCTTCTCTGACTATTCGGTGTTTTACGAACAGAATAAGATCGACATCTAAGTTGTTCAAGTCTCTCTTTATATTTCCATTTATTAAAGTTGATTTAAGTAGGCATTTAGAATTAGTAGCATTCAATGTATGTTTTATGTTTTTCTTCTGGCTATTTAAAATATTCTTTTTAAGCTCTAAGCCATTGCTTAGGATTACCAAATGTTTTTGTTGCTTCTTTTGTTGCTTCAATTCTTACTTATTTTGTTTGATCAATTGCAGTTTTAATATAATTTTAAAATTCTAATTATTTTTCTTTTCCAAGTTGGACACTTTTCATCTAATCTAACTTGAATTTATTTTTTGTTTATCTCTCACTAGTAATAAAAGAATCATTTAAGTATTTTTAACAATAGTCTTTAAATGATATTTCTGGAAGACAAGATTTAGTTCTCATTTTATTATAATTTATATTGAATTATTTTTTGATGAATATATGATTGTATATTTATTACTAAAGAGAAATTTTGTAATTTTCAAAATTTTCAACAATTATTAATTTCTGGAATCAAATGAAAATTTTACTAAGATTTTATGATTATTTCTAGTAAAGTTAAAAACAAAATTATATTATGATTAAATAAAAAATCAGATTGATTTTAACTTAAAATCTAAAAATTCAGCAAGTTTTGATTCTTCTATCTTTTTAAAATAAGGCCTTTGTTCTTCTTAGATTTATCCTTTAACTAAATCAATCAAAAAGATTGCAAAAATCTATTGGTTTGTAATATTTTGTTTTTATTCGATAAAGCTACCATTTCTTTAACTATTTTATTCATAATTAAACGACTATTTTAATGACATATATTACATTGCTTTTAATTTAAGAATTAGTCCGCATGCTAGATCTTACTTAACCTAAATCCATTGAAATCTATTTTGCAATCATTATCAAAACATTATCTATGTATTATTCGTCAATAATTTCATGAGAGTTTAATTCTTCATGCTAACAAGTAGTCTTAAAATAAAATTTATTAATTTACAATTTATTTGAGGAATCTAAACTACAATAATAGGTCATCATAATCTTTCTATAAAAATTTGATGATGTCATTTTTATTTTTAGACATTATCCATTATCTATCACTGTTTTAACAAATTTCAATCATTTCATTTATGTATTTAATACCTTTTTTTATTAAAAAGATCATGCAGATTTCAGTTTTAATTTTTGCTGACCAATTTTCAAGCTATTCAATTCTAATAATTCCTTAAATTAGAATATTAAATTTATATCGTAGTTCAAATAATTAGGTTTAAATTTATTTAATAACGCTTGACTAAACATTTAAGTTATTTATTTATTAATTTGAAGATGTTTATTATTATTATTATTATTATTATTATTATTATTATTATTATTATTATTATTATTATTATTATTATTATTATTATATCTATATTTAATATGATGATATATTAGACTCCTTTTCTACAGTTTTAGGAAATAATTAAATATTTTCATTTTCTTTATTGGCTTTAATATTTTCTTTATCTGATTAATTATTTTTTCTTTTGATTTATTCATTTGGACTTGTAGTTATCTAATTTTGGATTGATTATTATGATATGTAAAAGTTTTATTAACCTATTGTCTCAAATTATTAAACTTGTGAATTGATTTGATAATTAGATGCAAAATTTGCATGAATTGAATTCACAAGTCCTTAAGATGTTGGTACTTAATCTTCATTAAATAAGGTTTACCATTCAATTCTATGTTATTGGTCAATTTAGAGCATACCATTTAAAATTTAGGTTGTATTTTCAGATAAATCTTCAATAATTGGATTAAAATCTTAAGAACGATATAATTCTACTAATTATTCTTGTGCAATATTCTCAGGAAATGGCAAAATTCCAAAAAAAATCTTGTAAAAAACCAATCCTAATGAAAAAATGTCACATTTATCTTCATATTAAGTCTATTAAGTCTTTAATAAAATTTCAGGAGCAGTGTATAAATAATTTTCTAATCGATTAATATATAATTATACCTGGATCGAATAACTTTTAACTTGCTGATGATTTACAACAAAAGAAATTCTTAATTTTAATAATACCATCATTAAAAAATAAATTTGTAGGATTTATATTTCTATGAACTATTTTTTCATGGTTTAATGTTTTAAATCCTCTAGATATTATTAATTTTAATTACTTAAATAAATTTATCATTATTTATCTTCCTTCTTATTCACTTAACCGACCTTTTTCCTCTAAATAATTGGCTAAAGACCCTCCATTAAGGTGTTCATAAACTAAATAGATATTGTTTGTAGATTTTAACATCTTTATCATTCTTACTATGTACTGATCCTCTAACTTTTTCAATGCTTAGATTTCATTAATAATCATTTCTTTCAAGAGAGAATCATTGAGAAATCTATCTAATTTGATAGTTTTAACAGCAACTGCTTCTTTTGAAATTAAATTCCGACCTTTGTGTATTTCACCATAAGTTCCTTATCCAATTGCTTCAATTAGTATATAATTATCTATAATTTTTGCCATTTAATATTCAAATTATTTATATAAATTAACAGCTACACATAATAAATATTAATTAATATTGTATGTAAAACATTATGATTAGATCAGAAGTTTTCGTATTCATAATCATACTCCATAGGAGGCTATTATTACATTTGAGGAGCATCAATAGTATGAATGGGATTTAATTATTTGTAGTATCTCATGGCAACCTCATGATTACCCATAGAATTGTAATGTCTAACGAGATCTTAAATTTGCTTCTATTTTTGCATGTCTTGTGCCTTAATAAATAATAATTTAATTACAATATTTTGAAATTCATGTAAATGTTAATATTCTCTTTATAATTTTTATTTTTTTATCAATTCCTTTTATTCTTAATATTCCTTTCTAAAATATAATAGAAATAATTTTATACTGTTTTTCTTTTTCATCATCAAAAGTTTGCATTTCTAATTCAGCCTATTATATTTTTTCTTTTAATTGCTCTTTTTCAAACCAAGCTTTAAAATTATAAAACTTTTAAGATGGAAAAGTTGCTGTATTATAGCATTCCACATACTCTTCAAAGTATTTTTTTTCTTCTTACGGTGTAATTGCTTCAACATTTAACATTTTGACATCCGATAACCACATTAAAAACTCTTCACGTTTTAAATACATATCTGTATTACTTTAATATTAAAAACACATAACCTGATAGTTCCATATTTGCCCCATTAATTCTTTTTTGGTTTCTTCTTTATAGCATCATTCTTCTATTTTTTTTCTTTTTTTATGTGTTTTTCCTTTTTCTCTTTTTTATCTTTTTTCTCCTTCTTTTCTTTCTTCTCCTTCTTATCTTTCTTCTTATCTTTGCTTGATGATACCTATTAGAATAAATCTAATATTTTACTTATTTTTCTTTAGCTTTATCCTTACCCATTTCTTTAAAATTAATAGATAATATATTTAATAATAATACTAAGATTTATAAATTTACAATATATACAAAAAATAATATTTATAATCCATTAAGTCTTTACATGTTTCTGGATTATTAATATTATTCTTATTCATCAAATCAAATTTTCAATTTTTATAAGGTTTATAGTACATGTTAACCAAATTAAGTATTGAGTTAATTACCATCTGGATGTATTTTTAATAGTTAGTTATAATCAAGCTATTTACAAAAATTCTAGATGACATAATTTCCATAACAATTATTAGATAACCTATAAAAAACATTCATATTGTTTATAAACACTTTAAGGATCTCTTTCCTCATAAAAGAGGAGATATTGACACTTTTATCAACTACATTACTATTTGATGACATTCATAATTACCTTCCAAACTTATCACAACTAAGTTTTTCTAAATTTTTAATGATGCTACTTTGTATCTTTTGGACAATTTCAAAAGGTCCTCTTTACAGCAAAATTTAAATTATATAATTTCCATATTGTGATAAACATAATTCATCTTATAAAACCAATAATTCTTTGTATATGCTATTTAACTAATATGTTAATATAGAACAAAAAAAATACCTATGGCATAGCAGACTATTCTAAGATTTATTAAATCAATCTGCAACCATGAGAGTCATTTGATAACTTTTATATCTATCCCAGAACTCCTTCAATAAGCCAATCAATTTTCTATTATTTCATCAATTCAGCTATTTTTTAAATTACATGATTTCCATTAATATCTACAACTAGATTTCTTATTTAAGTTTAAAGAATAGAAAACATCTATTCGAATTTATCAGTATTATAAGAAATTTCTAATAATTTCTAAGCCACTCTACATCCATAAGTGTTGTAACTTAATATCAATATAGATTAAGATAGTTGATCAAAGATTAAATCTCTTTATTTTTCATTGCCTTATTCTAAAATTCTTTAGACAACATAATTTCCAAAAATATCATTGGCCAGTTGAACTATACCTGGTAATATTTTTAAAAAAATGTATTCTTTTTATTCGTCATCTCCTTTTTCAAATAAGCTCTATATTTTTCTACTATTTTATTGGTCTTTGCATTTAAGAATCTATTTAATATTAATTTAATACTAAATCTCCATCAAGGTAAGAATCCTCATCCAAAGAAAATGGTTGTATTGCCCAACAATCTAGTTTAAATCCAATAATGGGACTTTATATTTTCTTTAATGAATATCTATTTAGCTGAAAGTAGATTACTGTAATTAATGTTACTATCGTATTATTTGAGGAGAATAAGTCCTGTTCGTTTCAGATCTCGTCATTGATGGTGAAAAAGATCTCTCTTCATCACTTTCAAGAGCTAAAATTCTATTAACTAAATGGTACCATTCAGAATAGAATCAATAATTTCTTAATCTTCTTCAGGATCCATGTAATTAGTCATTAATTCTAATTTTACTATTATATTGGATATCTTAATATATTATTATTAGTAGATATTTAATATCAGAATAACTTTAAATAGTGCATAATCACTATAAAGATTCCTCAATTAATTTTATCCAATGCATGAATCAGATATAATTTTTGTTAATAAATTAATTAAACATATAAAATGGCCACTTAACCATTGTTAGAGACATTACCTAAAGACTTTCACAAAATGCCTCCAAATTATGACTTTTCTCATAAAGGTATTAAACTATTATATCAAAGGAATCAATTGGAAAGACTACGAGAAAGATTTTGTATTAAGAACTGATGCTGTATGGGAAAAAGATCAATTAAAGGATTGGTTCAGATTATATACTAAAGTATACCATTTAATAAATTTAGTGTTTCTACTTTGACACAACAGCTAACAAATACTCTTTGATGGAGCCAGACGATGTTTATACCATTCTGTTTGAAGGATGTAATGAATAATTTATTATTCCAATCTAGGGGCTTTGGAAGATTGCTTATTTCCATTCAGAGGTACAACCCCAACAGGGAGAACTAATTGTTTTTAAGTTGGATTACCACCTAAATAAAAAGTTTATGTTCCTTATCCAACATATCAATCATAATAAGATTACTTTACATTATGTGCTTTAAGATTCTAGAAATGGTTTGATTGTGATTAAGCTGAACATTTCAAAATGGATAAGACTGAAGCAGATTATTTGAAAAGAGCCAAAGTTTATCCTTGTTATGCAATGTTTTATGAAGCTGCTTATGCTTGTACAGTAATTTCTTAATCAAAAATCTTAGGATGATATGTTTGATTTCTTAATGGAATTAGCATATACAAGAAGATCAAATAGAACATTTGAATATAACCATTTTCAACATGAGATGCGTCGTCCTCCAACTATTTATGATTCTCCTAAAAATGCAGAGAGAATTAAAAAAACATATTGAAATATCATTAGTAAAATTAAAATAATATCATCCTTTTATCCTTTAATACAATAAAATTCAAAATTAACTTTTATTTAATACTTAATCATATATTAATGTAGCTAAAATATTGATTAGTTTTTAATTCAAAACTGTTTTTAGAAATCTATTCTAATTATTTTGTTAATCAATTCAAGTTAATTAATGATTCTATCAATTCTTACTGCTTTGTTATCATAACTTAAAATATAATATAGATTATTTTATCCAATAATCATTCTCTAATTCCATTAAAATGGTTTTTATTCATTAAAAACTTCTTAATTAATTGAACATTTATTTTTATATATTATTATTATTGATCATAAACTGATTTTGAAATCTAAATATTAATTTTATAACTCTCTATTTGAATAATTATCAATTATTTGTTATTTTATACTTATCTACATTTTTTATATTATTTATTTTATTTGTTATAAAGATGATTCCCATATTAATTTAAGAGAATACTCATGATTTAGAAATAATTCTAGGGTTGAAATACTAATTATTACAATTTTTTAAAGACAAATTTGAATGAATTTAAGTATTAAAATAAATTAAAAGAAAATTTATTAAAAACAATCAAATAATGTCTATAAATAATGTAAGTTGGGAATAAGTTGAAAATCCATCAAAAACAAAATTTAAACAACTTTATTTAAATAAATATAGGATTAAACTAGGGTTATTTTCTAATCATAAAGAATAATTGCCAAAATCAGTATTATTATATATTCATTCTTTAGAGACCTAAACATAGAAATATTTCAATTAAGGAATTAGATCATCTAATTAAACCAGAACTGATTAAAGCTAAAATGATGCCAGATAATTAAAATTAAAAGGTACTCACAGCTTAATTATTAAACAAAATTACATAAAAATAATTAGAATAAGAATATTTTTGTCAATTTCCTGAAATTACATAAACATAAACCAAAAAAAAAAGATCTAAAACTGAGCAACATCATAATAATTAATACAGTAAATTACAAAAATCCTTTGCTAGAACTGCTTATTTGATTGTAATATGATATATGTACTATCATTATTTAGTAACTTATTTCATGCTGTTGATACTTTATTCAATTAATTTAACCATTGCAATAATATCATCGAGTAATTCATTTCTATACATTGCTTCTATTTTTAATTTAGGTCCACATTTAAAACATTCTTTATTATAACCTTTCTTGCATTCAAAGCAATATGAATGTCCACATGGAATAATTGTAACAGGTTACTTTATGAATTTGTTACAAAATGTACAAGATAAATTCTTTTAGATATCTTTCTAAGAAATATTAATAAGATTATGTATACATCTGTTTTTTCTAATAATAAAATTGTATCTGTAATTTATTTTGTATTTTTTGGTTTGGATAACTATTCCTTTAAACCTTCTAATTTAGTATTTAAATTATTAATTTCTGATTAATTATTTTGATTTTATTAGTCTAGTAATTATTTTTGATTTTTTAGTGATTCTAATTAAGATAATTTATCTTGTAACTATTATTATAACTCTTATTGTCTTTGCTTTAATTTTTCAAGTTGATTATTTGATTCTATAGAATTTTTGGATTATTCTTCAATTTTTTATCTCAATTGACTAATTTCTTTCTACATAGCTTTATAATCATACATCTTTTGTTTTAGATAATTCAGAAAGTTATAATTTCAAGCTTAATATTTGCTCATTTAATTTAGAATTTTGATCAGTTTATTCTTTGGATTTTTTTAAATTCTCCATGATTGTTATCTTTTCTTATTCTAATTGTTTAATTTGTATCAATGAAGCTGATATCTCTTTATTCAAATTCTACTCTTTTAATTAACTATCATTCCTATATTAATCATATTATTTCTTTATGTTATTTTTTTCATTAACTTCCTTCTCTATATTTTTTTATATGTCAGTAATTTAATGTTCCATCTTACTTTATAAATCCTTTTTATTAACAACAATTTATTACTTCAGCTTTATGCAGCTAATCTTTTAATCTCTTAAATTCTTCGTTACTTTCTTCTTTGCTTTTTAATTTTTCTTAATATTGAGATATTTATTAATTTAATAATTCTACTTATTGTAATAAATCTTATTCTTTTGCCTATGATTGTTTAATGCTAATTTCTAACGAATTAATTTTATCTTTATCTTTTTCTGATTATAAATTTAATTTAGATGAATCTCCTGCCTACTTTAATCTTAATTAAATTGCTTAATAGCTAGCCTATAATTCTTAGAGTTATTTAGATTTCTCTTCATTTTATATTTTTTCTTTAACTAACTCCTATTTCATTGATTCAAAGCCTTTCTCAATTGAAATAATCATGTCATTTCTTTATTCAATGTCTTTCTTATGCATTTCTAATTTTGTATCAATTTGCCTTAACAACTATGACTCTGTTACAGGAGTTTATTTCTACTTTTTATTTAAAGATTCTGAAACAGTAGTATTACTACTAATGATATAAGTGTTGCTTCCAAATTTCAACTTTCTCTATATAGTATGTAATCTTCCAGGATAAGAATCCTCATCATCAATTGATGGTCTATTGTTAATTTATGGTAATGGTTTTATTGTACTTCTCATTTTAATAAATTTAATTATAAAATATTATACTTTATATAATATTTGTGTATAAAAAATACTATATTTATTTAGTAACTATTTCATGATTACATAAATATAAATTATCATTTACATTTAAGCATTAATACTCATTTTAATTTATCTTACTAAATATAATAATAGTATGAATAATTGCATTCATATAAATATTTATTACATATTAGTATTGTAGTAGACATTCACAAGAATAAATATTATTATCTATTTTTCAAAATTGTTTAATGAAATACTGTTGAAAGAGTGATTTATATAATTAAATAAATATGTTAATGGTGTAGATTTGATATTGAGGATAATATATATTTCTTTTAATCTGATCAACTATAATAATTTATTGATATTAGTTTTAATGTATAATAGATATTTACTTAAATAAAAATATATAAATATTTATTATTAGTTTTAAAGTGTTTAATATGAGTTAAGAATAATTGGAATAGCTATTATATCTGAAATAGTATTAGATCAATTAAAATAATGTTCCAAATTTTGATTTATTACCAATATAGCCTACATATATATAGGAAATGAACAAAGAAGTGGAAAATTTAGAATAATAGTCTCTTTTTGCAGATTAATTAAATGTTGATATACTTAGCTTAAAAAGAATAGAGAAGAAAAAAGATTAAGAAAAATGGCTAAAATACAATAATTATCTGAAGGTTGGTTTTTTTGAATGAAATCTCAGGATCAGGATGAAACTATGAAATAAGAATTTTAATTATGAAATTAAAGAAATACTTAGATCCAAAGCAACCAGTAAAATCAAGTGATTTTAAAACTATGCCTAAGTATTTTTAAGTAGGAACTTATGTTGATGGAATGGGTATTAATTATCTATATTTTTAATAGATTATTATAATATTAAAAAGAAAAAGAAAATTAAAGTGATTGAATTGACTAATTTTTAGAATATGATAAAGAGAAATAAACTACAAAAAATTCATTTTAGAAGATTTAACAAAGATAATAAAGAATCAGTAAAGTAAATACAAAATTAAGAAAATTAAAAAGAATAGCAAAATCTTTAGGAAGAAAAAATAAATGATGATTAATTAATGTTCTGTGGATACCCTATTTTTATGTAACTAAATAATTAATATTTTCTAATTCAAAAAAGTATTAGAGAATTATTATCATTAAGATTACTATTTAATAAAAAATTAGTATTTGTAATGAAATGATTTCGATTGATAAAATGATTATTAATATTAAAATAATAGAATGGCAGAAGAATTAAATTCAAGTCTTGACTCTATTGAATTAGAAATGTATCATAGACCTAATCCTAAAATTCAATCTATAATAAACTACTTAAGGAAAATTGAATTAAAATTTTGCACTGATCCTAGAAAAAAACAGGAAGAATACAGATCTTAAAATAATACTATTCCTAAAGAAGATTTTGGGTTGTAAAGAAATAAATTTTTCAATAGAAGGTAATCAAATAAAGCAATTGGCTGTCACATTCTCTGAAAGTCATAATTTGATTATCTATTTTTTTTTATCTCAATCTATTATTATTATATTCAGATTCTATACTTAAATTTTGAAAAAGTATAAAATAATCTCATAAAAAATAACAAGCAATTGACAAATTTGTTTTGGTGAATTTTCTACAATTTTCTATTTGGAATTTATTGCTATGTGAATATTTCATTATCTTTCATTCAGATTAAAGTGTATATAATTTGGAAATTTAAAAAATGGAGATAATATAAGAACTTTATTGAAATAAATTCTAATTAATATATTATCAATTTAAATAATTAATCATGTTATCGACCATTTTATATTATAATCATCATTTATATAATTTATGTCTAATGTAATCCATCTTATTTGTAATAACTTACAATAAATCAGATTTTGTATATTTATTTAAAATTGCAAAATAATTTTATTATTCTAAATCTATTTATTAAATGTCCATACAATTTTCAAAAAATTCATCTAGAATTAAAGACTCTAATGTTTTTTCTATATGCAATAATTATCTTATATAAATAAATATATTACTTGCTCCCACTTTATGGATTTTTATCTAAGAATTACTATAAATATTGACTTTTCATATCCTCACAATATTTCAATACTAACTTTTTCATAAAAGTAATTGAAATTTCAGAAGTACTTAATTCTCTCTATAATTCATTTTCAAAATGTGCAAATTCTGTTCCTTAATATATATGTGATCCATTTGTTTAAGATTTAAAGAACTTATCTGCTTCTTCCTAATAATGTTTAAACATTTTTCTAGCTGTTTCAACCTCTTTTTGAATTAAAGTACAAAAACTTTTATATTCAAATGTTTTAGTAATATCGTTTTATAGCTCATGTTTTTTGATTAAATGAGGGAATGCTGAAACATTGAACTTTTCAACTAAATTCATCCTAATCATTTCTATTAAATAACAAATATATTTAACAAGTAGATATCCACAATATACACTTTAAGATTCTCTCTATTCATCTCTCTAAATAATAATTAATATAAATATACTTCATCTTTACTTAATTCCAAAACTTCCTCTACAACTTTATATAGATAAAATATCTTATTTCTTTCCATTAATAAATATTTAAATGCTTTGGATTCCTTATTTCTCTATGAATTTAAAGTCAACTCTTATTAAATTTAATTTGGTTGTTATTCTGTATTTTTAATTCCTAAATAATTAAATAAAGCATTACTTTCAGTATATGTCAGTTCTCTTTCAAATAATTCCTTCCAACTGATTCTTTTATTCTAATCTTTTGTTAGCATTTTTAATAGTAAATCTTTAGTCGTTTGAGATACAACATTAACATTATCCAAAAACTATATTTCTCTTTCCTCCACTGCTAACATCAATTAAGCCATAGTTTTTTCTTCAAAGGGACAAATTCCATAAAGCAACTCATACAAGACACAACCCAATGACCAGATATCTGCTTTAATAGTATACTCTTATCCTTTTAAAATTTCAGGTGCCATATATATTGGTGATCCAACCATTGTTGTTGATAAATCTTAAGGGGTATTCAATGCCTTGCAGAATCCAAAATCACCCAATTTAATTGAGCCATTATGTAACATAATATTACTCGGCTTCAAATCCCTATGCATAATATTTTCTTAGACTAAGGATTAGAAGGCTTAGACTAATTATCTGAAGTAGTACAAGGCTTCTTTTTCTGTTTATACTCTAGAGTGTTATTACTGAATAATTACCCTTATTCTTATATAATAGCTTCTAGAGTTGATCCATTACAATATTCATAGACAAAATAATAATTACGAGAGCTCTTTAACATTTCTATGAATTTGACAACATGAGGATTATTAATTCTTGCTAGAGTTTGTATTTCATTCATTGTAAATTCTTCAAGTTTAGGAACTTCTTTAAATTTTTCTATTTTAACAACTTTGACTGCAACCAGACTGTTATTCTTGATATTTAGAGCCTTATAGACTTTACCATATTAACCTGAACCAATAACTTCTAAGAGGGAATAATTTTCGACAACTTTTGCACTCATAAAGTTAGCTTATATTTTATAATATTAGCTTTTATTATAAGGGAAAATGATAAAAAATGTGATTATTTAGAATGAAATTGATAGATTTGAGGAAAGTGATTATGAAATATTTTGGTGTATAGAATTGTTTTAATTTAATTAATGAGAAATTAAGGAGTTTAAACGATAGAGACAGGAGCTTATAACTTCTTTTTATTACCTCCTATAACTGAACCTTTAAAATCAGGAAAATCTTAAATATTAAGTAAGAACTCTTAGTAAAAATTCAAGTTAAGATCAATTGATGCTAAACCAACACTTTTATTTAAATAAGAATAATTAAAGTAAAAAAGGAGGAATTAAGACTTGCTTTTACATTAATTACATTTACCTTTGATAAAGCCTGAATTAAATATAGCTCAATCTAAAACTAAGGAATAAAATTTCTCTGCTAATAGGCTTATTGATAATATTTAACTAATTAGCTGTATATCAAGGGTAAGGAATCTATCTTATAATGAATAAATAAATAAAACAGAGAGAACAGCCTAATTCACAATTCGAGGTACACAAAGTTAAATACAAAGTAGGATACTCTCTTGATTATATGTTTCAATAATAATTAAATATAAAAATTGAATATTATGAATTATAAAGAATAAACTGGATTATAATTATATTGTGATTCAACAATAAGCCATAATAGACATCATAGTAATATGGATTTTAAATAAAACAATTCTAATTTTAATTCCTTTATTAGTTTACAATCTCCTACAAATAGAAAAACATCAGAATGTAACGGATTAGAGAAAAAAATATTAAGTTCAAGAAGTTAAATACATAGAATGATGGAGAATTTCTCACGAAACTATGATTTAATATAATAATCAGATCCTTTAGAACATGTTATAGAATTCACTCCTTAATTATCACCTGTAGGAAGTATTGCAGAAATAAAAAAGTAGGTTGATATTAAGCATGATGGTTCTTTAACTTTATAAGAATTGAAATCTAATTAAACAAGCATAATTTAGATAACAAGATTTAGATTTAATTATTTTTATGTGAGAATTTATGATAGAGAAAGTCCATTACAAGCTTATGTAAGGAGTGAAAATTCTAAATTATAAACTTTTAAGATGTATATATCTACAGTAGCTCAATTTCCTACTAGTTTTAATTGTGAATAAGCAATTTAATCTAAATATTTTAAATTTGCAGATTAATAATAGAGGGATACATTTCATGTGAAGAATTTATATATATCAATGTATTCAGAAGAAGATTGTTTTATAGCAATTAATTTTATTTTTGGTCATTATTTTAAGAAAAAAATAAAAATAATAAGAGAAGAATTTGATTCAGATAAATATAAATAAAGTATTTAAAATTATTATATTTATTAGAATTATATTCATTAAATACTCCAAGATTAGATTCAATTTAGATAGATAAAATAACAAGTAATTTAAATACAAAATAATATTAAAAAGATTGTAAAATTATATTTTAATTAAAGAGATTGAATAAAAAATTAAGATAAGTTAAAGATTGTTAAAATAAAGAATATTATAAGTAGTTGAAAGAAAGAAAATAATTTAAGAGGATAAAAAGATGGATATGATTAGTAAATTAAAAGCAAATGAATCTTTAAAAGAAATAAGAAATATTTAAAAATAAATAGAAATTTAATAAAAATTAAAAATAAGAAATCAAATTATTTGGATTGAATTAATTAAAATAGCATAATATGCTGCCTAAATGAAAGAAATGTTAGATGTAATTATTTATAATAATATTTTAGAAAATGAAATTACATAATAAATATTTAGCAAAAGGTAGATTAATAGCTTGGTAATATAAAACTATAACTATGATAAAAATTAAAGGAATGGGAGCAACAGTTGAGGAAAGAAGTAAATTCAAAATGTGTTTATCAATTAAAATCTTTACTTAACAATTAAGGTAATTTTCAAAAGTAAGAGCTATTAAATTGGTCTTATAATTTTTACATACTACTCATTTATACATTTAATGTCTATAAAAACATCATTATTTTGTTGAAAAAGTAAATTATGTTAAGAGAGTGTTTAAAAACTTAAAATAGAAACATAAGGCTTATAGAGATAGATTATGGAGACTATTGAATAAAAATGGTTAAGCTATTATTCTTGAATTGATAAATAAACATAGTCAAATAAAAAAGAGATAATATCATATTGATAAGTATTACATTATTATTTATTTTTGATAGTATTTTATTATTATAGATAATGGATGATTACATTTAAGAAAAGAAATAAAAATGTTAATAATATGTTCAAAATTATATTAAAGAAAAAAATAAAAAGAAAAAAGTACTTGATTTCACTTTAAGTATGATGTAACCTGAGATGTTTAATGCTCCCACTTATGAAGATTTAGTAGAAATATATAAAAAATATGCAATCTAAAAAAATATTGTTATTCATGAGTCACATAATTGAATATTATAATACAATTTCTCATTAGAAAGTATATAAAAATAATTATGTATAAATTAATTAAATTATGGATGGCTATTATGTTTAAGAAAATGAAAGAAATCTAATTGACTATATTTGGTATAATGTATGTAATATTTCAATGTTTTTATTATTACTTTCTCATGGCTCTATAGAGGTTTTAGACGAGTTCAATCTTTCTTTTTCCTCTTCTATTTGTACCCAATCTCTTAGCTGCTAATTTTCCTGCCTTCTTTAAATCTTTTGGTTGATTTGTTTTGAATAATTCAATAATTCTCTTTTCATATGGGCTCAAACCTGCTACTTCTTAGATGATCTTTCTCACTTGTAAAACTCTCTTACCCAAAGTTCCTTTTCTTTAAGAAGGTCTTCTTCTTAATTATTTCTTTGTTAATGAAGATGTAATGAATCCTCTATTTAAACCAATTGCAATTCCTGTTCTTCCCATTATTTTAAAAATGATATTTTTATTTTTTAAATATTAATCACACAATAACTTCTTTATTTCTTTATACAAAATCTTTGATTTCTGAATTCACTATTTATATGATCTATTCTATAATGAATATGATATATAATTTATATATAATAAGTTTAAATTCTGTTATAAATCATTGTTCATCACTATTTTAATCAAAATGCACAAAATAAGATGATATTGTTGTATTCTTTTAAGGTAAGAATACATCCTAAGCGAATTCAAAATCAAAGATTCCAACACATTCATCATCACTTTCTATTAAATCTTTGGTAGCCTAACTTACCATAATTTTTCCTTCTTATCCCTTTGATTCCATCTTATTGGCAGTCGTAACATCCTCTCCATAAATATCATATCTAACTACATCAGTTCCAACAACTCCACCAATAACTCTACCTGTATGTGCTCCTATTCTCATATTTAAATGTTAATATTATGGATCCTTATTAATCTACTGTATTATTTAAATCATTTTTAATCCAAATAATACTACATTAATTGCCTATCATAGTTAATATACTTACTTCACCAACTGGATCTCTATTGTTAGCATCAATTATACCCATACATACATAACAGTCACCAATTGTATATAATTTATATACTTGAAATCTCTGACATTCTTCATCAAATTATTAAAATAAGATTCTTAACATATTAACTACTTATTCTGGTTCTACTGAACCTGAATATTTTGTAAAACCTGCAATATCAGCAAATAGAATTGTACAATTTTCAAATACATCTATAAAATTATCTGAAGTATTTGCATCTGTTGAAAAGAACCTTCCTATTATATGTTAAGGTAATAAATATTATAAAATCTATGTTTATTTAGCATTTTTAGATTCAAATTAAGAATAACATTAATAATTTTCAACTAATATCTTTAATTCTTTATGTTATATCATAATACTTTATAAAAATACACTTATTGAAAAGAATATGATTTCCAATATATATTCATTATATATTAAGTTTATTAAGATTAATAAGATATATAAAATAGATAATTTTATCCTGTCTTATTAATTATATATTTACAAATAGAATAAATTTAAATAAACTGATGTAATTTGACTTACCTAAAATATTAATTCCATATCACTAATATGTACATTAATTATCAAAATATCAATAATTGAAAATATTAAAAAGTATAATCCAATCAACCATTTCAATATGATATTTTTAGTTATATTATATATTGCAATTGCCAATAATAAACAAATAACTGATTAACATATAAAAAGTATCTGTAATTCAATATTTATATTCTTTAATAAATAATATAATAGATTCTTAATTATTAACATTATTACTAGAAATATTATAAACATTTAAATCTATTTTCTATTATAATCTCTATATTATTCATATATAGTAAAATAAAGATGATGATTTTCACTTTAATAATCAGATTCTTAAATACCATATTTTTCAATTTCTACTTTTTCTTCCATCTTTTTTATATCATATTAATTTTAATAACAACTTTATTCGATATTAATCAGTTTTCTAATTTCTAATTCATCCATATTTTAAATATTTCTTTATTCTTTTGGTGATTTGTTAGCAGATTAAGAATCATGTTTTTCAATAAAATCTAATTTATTCTCTCCTATAACTCTTGTCTTTTTCCTTTTAATATTTTATAATTCAACTCTAACACTTTCAGCCATTTTTTATCCTCCACCAATAGGCATATTCAATATTGGATCTTCACCAATATTCGTTTTAGTACCTGCTCTCTTATATATAGATCTTCTTGATTTCATAGGATTTAATTCCATAGCAAGATTAGAAACTCTTTTACTATATGTACCTTATGTACCATAACCTCCTAATGGAATACTAGATTTTAATCCATCTCCTTAAATATTATTAATATTTGTTTATTCTACTTTATTTTTGTCTCTATCATCTTTTAAAGTATTATTAATAGTATTATTTATAATGTTATTATTATTAATAGCATTTATATTATTAATTTCTTATTCTTATTCATTATTTAGATTAATTCCCATTTAATA